TCCTGCCAAATACTAGCCTCAAAAAGATTAAAATATAATTAATGCAAATAAACTACTTCTACTAATAATAATAATAATCATAATCAATTCAATAATATAAATATATTATTTTTATTATAATATTGTTGTAATATAGTCAAGACAAAACATGCTTATGACATGCTCAAAAACTGATATTTCTTAAATCTGTATTCAAATGTAGTTCCCTCTGTCAGCAATGCATCAACAACTACACACACATTTCTATCAGTATTTCTCTGTGTTGTGGTTGACATGATGATGACTGTTAGGAGTAAAAGTTTACTTTTTATTCATGTACTTTTTATTCATGTATTTTTTCTTTTAATGTTTCTTTTATTATCTTTTACTGTTTTTAAATGCCTTTGTCTGAATGTCTTTCATTTTTGTAAAGCACCTTGAATTGCCTTGTGTTGAAAGGTGCTATATAAATAAACTTGCCTTGCCTTAAGGGGAGAGGCTGAGCATCACCATGAAATGTGCAAATAGACATAAAAATGAATAAAAGGGGAAAAAATGCTCCATGTTTTTTAGGCTGCAAACTTTAACTGTTATGTAAGCCAACTAAACAGACAGTGTATCACTCTTCCTCCTGTACATCAGCAGATAAAAGGCATAACATACTTGAATGAATGGTAAATAAAGAATGCTGGAAATAACTGCATCGCCATTAGCCTGTATGCTATGCAGAGACTGCCTTCTTCATGTCCTGAATTGCAGCTGATGTTTTAATATGGCAATTGGCAATTTGACTTATACAACATTCACAAGTTGTACATTTGACTCATACAATAACCCACCTTCGAGTGATGCTCTAGTTTCTTCATGTTTTGTTTTTTTCCCCCTCTTGCTTGCCCCGGACTGAAACTGTCTTTTCACCGACATCTCTTCACCTGCACTAGCGGCCGTATCAAAGCCGTGATTGGTCAGATGTCGATTCATTGCAACGGTGTCGGTTTACGCACGTGCTCCCCTTGTCACCTCTCACTCTCGCGGGGGGTGCGCGGATAACTGAGCGGATAACTGAGCGGAGAACTGCGCACAGCAGCTGAGGCCCTCTGGGCGGGGCCCCCTGCGCAAGGCGGGGCCCCATGCAGCCTGCGTGATTGGCCTGTATAGGGGCAGCCCTGGGTTCAGATGTGCCTTAATTGATCCATCAAAGGAGATTCTCATAATCTGCTGCAGCACCAGAAGCAAATGAAGGTCATTTAAAGAGAGAATGGAGACTAGCGATGGCCGGATGTTTGGCCGGATATAAATAGAGATGGCCGTGATTAGAGACAGGGTTGAGGCAGGGGCGGACTGGGACTAAAATTCAGCTCTGGAAACTGACCCAGTCCGGCCACATGAGATGTCAAATGTTAGAAATCTGCTGTTTATTATTTAAAGTTTTACGTCCGATTTTTTCTCTCTGTACACAACTCCAGTTTGGGCATTGGCCTGTCATCAGATTTAATTTGTAGTTGCTGCTGTGGCGGAAGTTTAGTAAAATAGTTTTTGATGAAATACTCCAAATCTCCACCCTCCATAATTGCACTTGCTTCAGTTGCTTGCAACTTTCTAAGGGTGGTGATGAATTACAGTATGAACTGAAGTTGATGCGATTTGATTGGATTGTGAGACATGACGTGAGCCTTATCTGATTGGTCAATCCCTCCATTTTTTTTCACCAAGGGAAGGCAATTTCGGCTAGCCTCCTCTCGCAACAGAGAGTGCAATCTACTGTTTCACCATAATATCTAAAGGGGCACTGTTTCACTCTTTGTAAAATACTAATTGAGAATGGGGGAGAGATGGGCCAGCAGCAACACACAGCACAGAAAAAAAAAGTGTTTTTATTTATTTATTCTCACCAACCTCTTGCTCTTGCCCTGCACTTGTATACGTGCCAGTTGAGCTGGTTCTTGCACCAGCTCAACTCTGTCTCTCATCATGAACGCAGGAGGCTGGCTGTATATCTGAACTCGCGCCCTCATTATCCTCTTCATCATCTTGCACTTGTTCTAAGCTGATGATGATAGTGCTTGTAGCAGCGCTGCTGCCAACAACGTATGTCAATTTGCAAAATGTATATGCTTCACCTGCGAGTGATTTCACCTTTTTTTCTCTTACCTTCTCGGCCCCTCCTTTTTCTTTTCGTTTTCTTTTATTTTTATCCATGTTTTTTCATTCTCCCTGTCTGCCGCGGCGTCTAATCCCTTCTCTTCGTGTGGCCGGTCTTTTTTCTTCTTCGTGTGTGATTATTTGACAGATAAGAACCACACAACTGCATTAGCGGCCGCTGTCGCCCTCTGTCGGCCGTCAGCGCAATTTAAATGATGACGTTAAAGAATTTTTTTTTTTTAAAGGGCCAGCCGGCCGTCAACGGCCCTTGACGACCGGCCGATCTGTGGTTCTCCAGATGGCCAGTCCGCCCCTGGGTTGAGGCCAAGCCCCCAGGAAGTGCGCCGGACTCTGAGGAAAATATTTGTTGTGGCCAAACGGCGGTACTACGTTTCCGTATCAGTCGTTGGGCCCGGAAAAACGTTTTCCCATTGACTAACATTGGGAAAGAGACGTCTGTAAATCGTTGGATAATTTTTTTTTAACTAAATAAACTACCCAGTATGAACATTTGTTTAGCCCTTATTAAAAACATTCGGTCCTCAAGTTGTAAAATGTGCTAATAACGTTATTTTCCTCGGCATTATGAACGCCCATTCAACCCACGGGACCGCGCCGCCCGGCACGTTCATGTGACGTGTTCAGTACTACATGAGTTTTACCTTTACCCATGGATGCACAATAAGAATGGATTATATGATTTTATGAATACTTTCGTGGCGTTTTGCTCTCTCAAAAGTTGGGCCATTTTGTCTTCATGCGCCAATGAGCAACTCTCATAGGAATGAACAAGGCCCCGCCTCCCACACTGTATCCAGTTCTTATTATAGAGAGGCGAAGTCCCTCCCTTTCCGGGAGACCTTATTTTCGGAAAAATGATGTATTGAAGTCAATGGGGAGAGAAAGATTATCTTTCGATCCCGTTTGAATTGTGCCACGAATTACACATATGATGTTTGTCAAAATATAAATAACTAATGTCATGCAAACATATTAATATTTGCTTGATTCCAGTGTTGAATTGAGCACAATTGCATACAAACGTTAAGGGATTTTAAGATTCTGAAGTATTATGCTAAAAACTCAATAACTTAGATTATTATTTATAGTTTTGCTGAATAGTTTTATGTCCGCTTACCTTAGAAAGGTAAAATGCCACGGCAGTGTGCAGATGGGGAGCATGTTAGCTTAGCAGCTTCAGCTAGCTCTGGAACTTTCAGCTCGGTGGCAGGAGGTTCCGCCTCTTTGCCCTTATTTGGAGCAGGCTGGAGTAGGCGGGAGTTGAACTCTGATGTCACTGTCGAGCCGTTAGTGGCCGACTCCGCCTACTAACGGCCTGTCCACACACAGGCATGAAAAAAATCTTGTTGCTGGGCGTGTCTGAAGCTTGGCGATTTTTTGCGAGCAATGCGACCAACAACCAATCACATGAATCTCCCGCCCCCGACATACATAGCAATAGCAATGTTAAAACGAAGTAAACTGGATATAAACTCCCCAAACAGGCGAAAACCTACCAGTTTCACCCACTGTCTCTGCCACCTCCCTCCATGCCTGGTTCCTCCGGTTTGTATCCCGGTAAATAGTTCTGGTCGTAAAGAACCGGGTGATTTGCTACCGTAATTTCTCGTTTGGAACATGAGGAAATGAACTGCGGTCTGGCTCTCCCAGCTTGCACGCGGTTTGATTTTGGTTTTGATTTGATAGCTGCTTGTACTGGCGGGATTTGCATAAACGGGATTTGATTGGCTGATGCCAGCTTCGAAAGCATCGGGAGCATCAAAAGTTGAACATTGCTCAACTTTTGATGCTCACGATGCTTGCAAAGCCATGCTCCGCTCCCCACAATGCAGTTCGGCGAAGATTACAAATATTCTACGTCACCCCATTCAAGTGAATGGGCGAAGCTTTGAAAGATTTTTTTCATGCCTGTGTGTGGACGGGCCGTAAGGGCTTCTCTGCAACTCTGCAGAATCCTATGGGTGACGTCACGGACCCTACGTCCATTTAGTCTGGTTGTCGTCCTATGGTTGTCGTTCATATTCATGTCTCCTACTCGCTAGGTGGCAGTGTCACGAAAAACTAGGGTCCTAGGAGTGCGGTCCAGGAGTGCGGTCCTGAAACTCCAGTCTCCAACGCTGCAGCATCATGCTACTCTCGCCATCTGCTATATTTAACCTTATATCGAGCCCGCTCGTCGATTTCCAATGATTTAATGTGATTGTTTGCCTGTATGGCCATTGTAATCGGGCTCTTTGAAGATCCAAAAATCCACGGTTTTCTTACATTTCTGATCGGATTGGCAAAAACTTCAGAATTTGAATTGACCGCCATTGAAATGAAACGAATGTGCTACTCTCATCCATGGTTGAGGCGTGGCCATGCTCCTGAACCTAGGTTAACAAATGAACTTCATTGATAACTTCGAAAGCGTAAATGTATATAAATTAATGACATCACAGTTGCATGGTCTTGTCACCACTGCTATGCTAGGGCTAGGCAGACTTGTGTTTGGCATGTTGAAGTCAATAGTCACTGTTTTATAACAGTGTAGGACATTTCCGAGTTGCGTATTCACTGATGTATTATATTCCGTAGGGAAAAACCCGTAAAAGTCCCATCTAGCTTGTTTTATCAAAAGTTATTTCAAAAATCTAACCACAAAAAAACTTGAATAGATATGGCAAAACTTCAATGCATTTTTGATTTAGTACTGAATTAGGCTACTACTTGATTGCCCAACAAAAGTCAGCTCATCATAATAAAGTAAACACAAATAAATCAGAAATGTATAGTCTTGGAGGTTTTGATGTAGGGTCATTAGGTTTCGGTCATTTAAGTGCGTTTATGTGTGAGTTATCATTTTTCCCACAGTTTTGAATGCATCGTGGAAGTCACTACTACGTGATTAGTGTGTATGTCTGTGTTTGGCTTTTATGCACGCGAGTTGCCAGTTGCAAACAAAGCTGACAACAGCTTCTCGTCAACGCTCCCAACATGTCTTCTGACGGCTTGAGTCTGCAGTATCAGGGAATTCTGCTTCCGAGAGAAACTCACTCATTAGAGTGCCTGGAGTTTGCACAGGAATTCAAGTTTAGGGACGATGACATCATGGCTGCCGTTTATCCGAAATCAGGTTAGTGTTATTTTGGGCTCACTGCAGCTTTAACAGCAACTTAATCGGTTCAACAAAATCTGACAACTATTTTATTTTTGCACCACTTCGGGTCCTTTTTTCTCTCTGCTGCTGGTGGACTTGGAGCAGAGTTGCGAAGTTGTGTTTTCTGCAACTTTCTTAGTTGTGTCAGTTAACCGGCATGTGTAAAATAGTACAACGTTAGCTTCCCTTTCCATTATGTGAATGGCTTTTTATGATCCTTTTTAAGCGTCCTTGAGTTTCCTGAACAGCGCTATACAAGTCCCATTTTGTATTATTATTATTATTATTATTATTATTATTATTATTATAGAATATAGGCATACCCAGGGCCGCCCCTGGCCAAGTTGGGGCCCCAAGCGACATTGTGAGATGAGGCCCCCCCTAACCAAACTGCGGTCAACTCAGCCGTCTCTCAAATTTGCTTGGTCAAATGAGCAGTTCTTCATTTTTGAGTGCGCGATTTATAGCACCTTTACGGTAATCACTGAGAAGCGGCTCTAACGCTAATGCAATAGGTGTTTTTTCTGCTTCTGTTTCTGTTTGACTGCTACCAACAATAAAATGAATTACTTTTACTGTCTTTTTTCTGGGTAATACACTCAAATTCCCCTCCTGAGAACAAAATCACGCCACTTCTGCTATATTTGATGAGATAAAATGATTTTTAGCCATACATTCTTAATAAAAGTGATACTGTTGGACTCAGTAGCCTACTTGTTAGACTACTACCAAAAGTACAATCAAGTACTTTTACTGTGTACTTTTTGAGAAATACCCTGTCAAACTCCCCTCCAGAGTACAATAATGTATGTTTTCTGCCATCTTTGATGAGAGATAAAATGATTTTCTGCCATAAGTTCTCAGTGAAAGTGGTACTGCTGGACAGAGTACTACTTGGACTACTGCCACAAGTACAATCAAGTACTTTTATCGTGTACTTTTTGAGTAATACCCCGTCAAACTCCCCTCCAGAGTAGAATAATGTATGTTTTATGCCATCTTTGATGAGAGATAAAATGATTTTCTGCCATAAGTTCTCAGTGAAAGTGGTACTGATGGACAGAGTACTACTTGGACTACTGCCACAAGTACAATCAAGTACTTTTATCGTGTACTTTTTGAGTAATACCCTGTCAAACTCCCCTCCAGAGTAGAATAATGTATGTTTTATGCCATCTTTGATGAGAGATAAAATGATTTTCTGCCATAAATTCTCAGTGAAAGTAGTACAGCTGGACAGATTACTACTTGGACTACTGCCACAAGTACAATCAAGTACTTTTATCGTGTACTTTTGGAGTAATACCCCGTCAAACTCCCCTCCAGAGTACAATAATGTATGTTTTATGCCATCTTTGATGAGAGATAAAATGATTTTCTGCCATAAGTTCTCAGTGAAAGTGGTACTGCTGGACAGAGTACTACTTGGACTACTGCCACAAGTACAATCATGTGCTTTTATCGTGTACTTTTTGAGTAATACCCTGTCAAACTCCCCTCCAGAGTACAATAATGTATGTTTTCTGCCATCTTTTTTGTTTTTTATATATTTTTATTGAAGACACATAAAAAAGACATTTGGTACATTGACAGGGACCACAGTTCAAAGTTAGTAGTAACCATTTAGTCTCTACTATTGTGCATCAATTGACAAGCCATACATGGTTAATTTTCTCTTGAAGGCATACAGTATTTAAGCCACCTTCATAACTCAAACAGACCAGATAGCCAAATATAAGGGAGTAGTGTACCGACTGAACTAAACAAGATAATAATAATAATAAAATCAAAATAATAATACTAAAACAATACAAAGACAAAAAATTAACATAAATACGTAATAAAGGGGAAGGGGGGGGGTGTCCATCAATCAGTAACCAAAAATGCGAGAGATTGGAAGAAGGTTAAGAAGGGTTGCCACTTAGTGTAAAACATAGAGGTTCTGCCTCTTAATGAATACTTAATTTTCTCCAATTTTAGAAAATACATGACATCGCTGCGCCACTTAGCATTGGAAGGAGCTTTTTTGGATTTCCAGTGAAGAAGAAGAAGTCGTCTTGCCAATAACGAAGTAAATGCCAAAATATCTAATTGCCCCGAGTTGTATCTGTTGTAATCTTCTGGGCACCCAAATATGGCAATATGGGGACAGACTTTCACAGCGAGTGAGAGTATTTTTGAGATATCCTCAAAAAACTTATGCCAAAAGGAAAACACTAATGGGCAGGAGAAGAACATATGGGATAGGTTGCAGGGAGAGGCTTGACATTTGTCACAGATGTCAATAACAGTGGGATATATTTGTGACAATCGTGTCTTTGATAAATGAACCCTGTACAGCACCTTGAACTGTATGAGAGTGAGACGAGCACAGGATGAACTTGTATGAATCCTATTCAGAGCAGTGTCCCACCAGTGATCACCCAAGTTCACACCTAGCTCAGCCTCCCAGGCAGCCTTAATTTTAGTGGTGTGTGAGCTGTCATCGGTCAGGAGTTTGTTATATATTTTTGAAATAAGTGACTTTTGAAGGGGATCGGAACAAAGAAACTCATCCCATAGTTGATTAGGGGGTAGAGAGGGAAAGGATGGAAACAGGGATTTGGTACAGTGTCTAATTTGGAAATAACGAAAAAGGTGAGATGTTGGGAGTTCAAATTCCCTTGATATATCAGTAAAACTACGAAAGGTATTATCCTTATAAAGCTCTCTAAAAGTCCTCAGGCCCTTCTCATGCCATACAGAGAAAGTGGGGTCAGATAAGGCAGGTCGGAATAAATGGTTTCCCAATAAAGGAGCTAAAGTGGATGCAGAAGTAAACTTAAAATGCCTCCTAAATTGGTACCAGATTTTAAGAGTAGAACTCACAACAGGATTATTTGTATGTCCAGAGAGGTTGGTAGGAATGGAAGAGGTAAGTAGGGCCATAGTGGAGGATGAGCCACAAGACTGTGCCTCAAATCTAGACCATGGAGGATGCACTGATTTTGACCAAAATGAAATGTTGTGTGTGTGAAGCCCAATAATATAATTGGAAGTTCGGGAGAGACAGTCCAGCGTTATGTCTACATCTTTGAAGAATAGATTTACTTATTCTGGGTGCCTTTCCATTCCATAAAAAGCCAGAAATAACCTGATCAAGAGTCTTAAAAAATTGTTTAGGTAGGATCTATTCCTAGACATTGGAAAATAAATAGGTACTTAGGAAGAATGTTCATTTTAACTGTGTTAATTTTACCTATAAGCGACAGAGGTAAACTCTTCCATCTTTGAAGGTCTGACTTGATTTTAGACATTAAAGGGGAGATATTGGCAGCGAAAAGGGAACTTAGTGTTCTTGTTACATTGATTCCTAGATACTTAAAGCCAGAGGGGCTCAATCTGAAGGGGACATCGGACTGGTTCAATTGTGATGCCAGAGCGTTAACAGGATAACATTCACTTTTGGAAATATTCACTTTGTAACCTGAGAATGAACCAAATTTCGTAAGAAAAGATACAATTGTTGGTATAGAGTTACTGGGGCTTGAGACATACAACAATAAATCATCCGCGTACAGGGACAATTTAAATTCCATCCCCAGCCGCCATATCCCAGTGAAAGTGGTTGAGGTCCTCAGATATATTGACAAAGGCTCTATGGCTAACGCAAAAAGCAAAGGAGATAGTGGACATCCCTGACGGGTTCCTCTGGATAAATAATATAAGGAGATTGAACGCCATTAGTGGAAATACTAGCTTGTGGGGATGTATAAAGAAGGCGTATCCATGAAATAAATATATCACCCAGCCCAAATTTACTCAGTACAGTAAGTAAATAGTCCCACTCAACCCTATCGAATGCTTTTTCTGCATCAAGTAAGATCACTACTTCAGGGGTCGTAGCGGTGTTTTTGGAGTAGATAATATTTAAAAGGGTGCGGACATTGTAAAATAGTTGACGTCCCTTTATAAATCCTGTTTGTTCTTCAGAAACTATGGTTGGGAGAATATTTTCTAATCGACGTGCCAAAGCCTTAGCAAGTATTTTCGCATCCACATTTATTAAGGAAAGTGGCCTGGAAGAGCTGCAGAGATCCGGATCTTTGTCTTTTTTTAAAAGCAGACTTATGGAGGCTTGTCTTAAAGTGGGAGGAAGAGAACCATTCCGCAGAGATTCCTTATACACCGAGTGTATTAATGGGGCCAATTTAGATTTAAATCTTTAAAAAAAATTCTACTGGGAATCCATCAGGGCCAGGAGCTTTTTTATTTTGCATGTTATTTATAGCGAGGGAGATCTCATCTGGGGTTAATGGAGAATCAAGTTCTTTTGAAACACCAGGACCTATAGTAGGGAAATTGAGATTGTCAAAGAAAGCGCCCATCTCAGAAGTGTCGGATGGCGATTCAGACTTGTATAGAGAAGAATAGAATGAGCCAAAGACTGAGTTAATGGTACTAGGATCGGTATGCACCGTGCCTGATGAATCTTTTATCTGGAGGATTATACGTGAGGCTGCCTGACGACGCAATTGGTGGGCCAAAAGGCGGCTCGCCTTATCACCATGCTCATAATATGTTGAACGTGAGCGTAAAAGAAGGCGCTCTGCATCAGTAGTTGTTATGAGATCAAATTCCGTCTGTAATTCAACTCGATCTTTGTGTAAATTGGGAGAGAGACAAATGGCTAATTGCTGATCTATTTTTTTTATCTTGCACGATATATCTTTAATTTTGGCAGAACGAGTTTTATTTAACTGCGCATAATAAGAGATGATTTGGCCCCGTAGGTAGGCTTTTAATGATTCCCACAACAGAGAACAAGAGATGGGTTCATTGTCGTTTTGATTGTTTGTAATAAAATCATCAATTGAAGTTGCAATACATTTATTAAATGTGTCATCTGACAACAGCAAAGTATTAAACCTCCACGGCGTTGAGTATCGTGGTTGCGGTGAAATCCAAATATCCAGAGAAAGAGGAGCGTGGTCGGA